AGCAGTGAGGTGAATTTTTTTTTTTCTTTAAGATTTTATTTATTTATTTGACAGAGCGATAACGAGAGAGGGAACACAAGCAGGGGGAGTGGTAGAGGGAGAAGCAGACTTCCCGCTGAGCAGGGAGCCCAAAGTGGGGCTCTATCCCAGGACCCCGGGATCATGACCTGAGCCGAAGGCAGACGCTTAACAACTGAGCCACCCAGGCGTCCCAGTGAGGTGAATTCTACTCCTTCATTTCTTACAGTTTGCAGGGGGAATCCATATTGACAGGTAAAATAGATTAGAAGTCGTTTAATTCCACTTATCATCAGATACTTTTATTTAAAAAGTTATATAGACCTAACTATGGAGAAATAATTCCCCATTAAAGTGTAAAAAGAATGTATACACTGAAGTGTTTATGAATGAAATTATATAACATCTGAAAGATTTGCTTCAAAATAAGCAAAGCAGGGGAGGGGAGGCAACAGAGAGGCCAGTAGATGGGGATATATACACTGTGATAACTGGGTGGTGGTAACTGCTGAAGCTGGATGTTGAGTACATAAGAACTCACTACACTAGTCCCTTCATTTCTGTATGTTTGAAATTTCCCACATTTAAAAAAATGAACAAAATAAAATGGAAAAAGTATACAATCCTGTCATCAACTTGTGTATGTCTGAGAGCAAATGACTAAAAACTATGAAAAGCAAAACCAATTAATGCTAAAATAAATTTTATAGATTCTTCAAATATACAAAAGTTAGATGTTCAATGAAGGCAATACAACTCTTGAAATAACAAGGTTATTAAATTTCTGTCATCACTTAAATCTATAATTTATTATGTTGTGCCAATATCACACTACCATTAACCACCCCCAATGAGGCAGTCACTAAAATACTGATTTCTAAAACATGAAATTAAGATTGACAGTTATCATTAACTAAGAAAACAAATAAGTTTGAAAAGCTAGCCTCTCCATACAAAATATAAAAAAATTACAATTTAAAGAAAAAACTAATTTTAAAACAGTAGCAAAATAACTCAAAATAAAACAAAAATTACTTTCATTTCCCTCTTTTACAGCAACCAGGTTTAAGACATCTCATGCTTCTAGAAAGGCTGACACAAAGTAGACCTCACAGCAGACATCAGTAAGACTGTATATTACCTTTAAATGACTCAGACCAACACACATAACTCAAATAGAAATATGAAATTTTTAACTGGAGATGCATCACCTACAGATATGGTAAAACTTCTCCACTGTGTATAGGCAGATCATTTTGGCAGAACTGAATGTGGCCACTTCTTTATTTGTAGGCCTGCAAGACTTAGGATAAAACCTCAAGTGGTACTTCTAATGCCATAAAGACACAATGCCTAGCAAGATATATAGAAATAAAGTTATGCTCCACATTTTAGAACACAACTCAAAAATATGACATGAAAATTGCTTTCATTACCTGATCCTTAAAGATCCTGAATAATTTTTTGTAATTATTACAAGCATTTTTTTTTTAAAGATTTTATTTATTTATTTATTTGACAGAGAGAGAGAGAGCGAGAGAGGGAACACAAGCAGTGGGAGTGAGAGAGGGAGAAGCAGGCTTCCCGCGGAGCATGGAGCCCGATGCGGGGCTCGATCCCGGGACCCTGGAATCATGACCTGAGCCGAAGGCAGACGCTTAACAACTGAGCCACCCAAGCGCCCCACAAGCATTATTTTTTAAATAATGAAGTATCTCATACATCCAAGACTATATAAATATGTACCTATATGCACTACACACGTGTATAACATGTTATTTTGAAAACCCACAAATTTACTACCCAAGGTAAAAATTAGAGAAAATATTAAACTTTTCACAAATTTCCAAGACCTTCTTACAGAGAGGCCATGACAATAAAGAGAAGAGACAATCACACCATTTTTCTTCAGATCTTTCCATTATCTTACCGAATATTGTAATCTGTGCTATCAAAACACCTTTCTGAATTTCTTGTTCTTTTAAAAATACAGTGATTATTTTAAATTTCCAGTATTGGATTCATGCGTAGTCTGTCAAACAGCTACTGCATTTTACCTCAGAAGAGTTTCCTGGATGCATGCATACCCCCAAAAAATGACATTAAGACCTTTGTTACAAACTCACCACAGAAATACATTGAAAACAAGATAAGGAATGCAACCAAAGTGTGCCTGCTTTTCAAAAACACCAGATGATACCAAAACACATATCATAGCTACAAGTTGCATAGAGAGTGGGAAGACTTTATAGCTTCTTGAGAATTAATAACAGCAAAAACTCTGCAATTAAGTCATGAAACCTCGACTTCCAGGAATATTCTTCCCTCCTCTTTGCCCTTTTGAAAACTCCACCATCATAGAATCCTTAGCTTCTACTGGATTAGAATCTCTCCAGGGACAGAGGCCATATATTACTCATCTTTGTGTCTCCTGCAGAGAATTGAGTCAATAATGTTTGTTATACATAACATAAACTCCAGTAAAATGAGCTTCAGAAGCTTCAGTCCCAATGCAAAACTGCAAAGAGAAGTTTAAGAATAGAAAGGAAAAGAATAAAGCTATAAATATTTGAGCAATATATTTTCTTACCACCTAATTCAGAATCATGTACTAACACTGCAAAAATGAATTTGTAAAGAATAAAGAATAAGGGTGCCTGGGTGGCTAAGTTGGTTAAGTGACTGCCTTCGGCTCAGGTCATGATCCCGGAATCCTGGGATCGAGTCTCACATCGGGCTCCCGGATCAGCAGGGAGCCTGCTTCTCCCTCTGACCCTCTCCCCTCTCATGCTGTTTCTCTCTCTCTTTCTCTCAAATAAATAAATATGTTAAAAAAAAAAGAATAAAAAATAAAAGACATGACCTTAAAGTTCTCCTTACTTTCAGCACACTCAAAAACTGTCACAGAATCTTTCACCTTAAACTCATACCAACATCGTCATCTCCAAACAAAGCTCTATGTATTTTAAAAGGCTTTCAAATGAGACCTAAATATAAAAAGGTTCTACTTCATCACAATTTAAGTTCCTGAAATTGTATGCATAATTTGTGTGATTGTGTTTATGCTCATTTAACAGTGAGCGTCTTTCATCAGATTCTCAGAAGGATAAGTGACCCAAAAAAACTTTAAGAACTACTAATCTAGCATATCAAAAACTCTGTTTTCCAGAGATAATACAGTTAAGCTGCCTTAGTGCGAGTATTTTTCCCTCATATTCACTGACGGGATCCTTACTGCAAAATCAGTCTTCAAAGAACTCCTTCAGCTCAGCCAAAAAGGCCCAATATCCACAGGAATGTATAGCAACAACTCGCAGATCCCCAAAACAGTTTATTCATAAATGCCAGAAGAAAGTGCCAAAGAAGGTACACTGTATCACAAACTTGCCACGCTTTTAGACTGGTGAACAGACTTGTATCCTTCCACATAGAAACGTCTGGGATATGTAAATTCCCTCCAAACTGAACAGACTTTTTAGGAAAGTTTTGGTTTCAATTCCAACACTGACTCGGCCTCCCTGCTGGACTTAATAACCTACCACTGTCAAGACAAGTCCCGTCATACGCACCCAGGTTGTTTCAACAGGGTCACCTTGATTCTTCGCACCCCCAGGCAGGGACCACTTCCTGAGTAATTACTCAGTAAAGTGCTGAATGAATGAAAGGAGGTCCTCCCCCCCATAGATCTAAAGTTAAGCCGCCAGCTGCTCCAGTGCAAGCTTGAGCCGTGCAAGACATCCCTCCCTCCCTCCCACAGGCTAAGCGTCAGAAATGCCCTGATTCCCGCACACACAAGAAATAATCTAGGTGCGGATGCCCACTCCCTACAGGCCAACCTATGATCCGTACCCACGTGCGACACGACTCGTCTCTGGCAGCTGCGATCCGGCCGGGCGCCTGTGCCCCTATCTTCCCGGAAACCGGACTGGCCTGACAAGACCTCTGAGCCGCCCGAGGCGTGCGGTGAACGGACTACGAGCAAGCAGTCGCACCCCCTGAGGTCGAGCCTCAACTTTGTCACCAACTTAAGCGCGTGACCTTGGCAAAAGGACCTCTTTACGCCTCCCTTTCCTCCTTTACAATCGGGAGAAAACGTCTCTTCTACCCTTTCTACCATTTCCACGCGGAGGGGTAGGATCACAAAGACAGAAGGAGCCTTCTGAAAAGCTTTACTCTGCGCCAAGCGTCCTTCCTCGCAGCCTCGCGGGCGCTGGTCGGTTACAGACACGCCGGGGGTTCTCGCGCACACCACCCGCTCCCGTCGGGGGAGCTCCCCACAGCACAACCGGCCACGACGACGGGCCCCGGCCCCGGCCCCGGCCGCACACACAGACGCCACGCCGTGCGCGGTACCGCCATGACTCCTCTCTCCCAGGCAGCACTAAGGCGCTCCACACGCGCGCCAGCCGGAAGGGAACGTCCCCGATTTTCGCTCAGAAATGAGCTAACTCGTGAGGGGATCTCCGGCACACTTGCACAAACCCGAGCCAACTCTCCCGAACACTTTCCTCCTCGCACGCACACACAAACACAGCCGCTCGGCACCGGCACACCGTCGGTCTCCCAGACCCAAACCACGCCTGTCCTCGTCCGAACTCCCAGGACAGCCGTTCAACTTACAGCCCCGGGAGGGCCGAGCGCGCCGGGCCGAGCCCCCGGAGGCCCGCGCCCGGGATGCCCCCGCCGCGCCCCCGCGGCGCGCCAACCAACCTGTCAGGGGCCCGGGCGACTCCGCCTCCGCTCGCCGACTTTCCCGCCCCCTCCCCCGGCCGGGAGCCCGCCCGTCAGGGACACCCCTTCCCCCCCGCCGGGAGGGACTTCCCGGTACGCTCAGGATCCCCTCGCCGCCCTCCCCTCCCCCACCCCCGCCGCCGCTCCGCGGAGGTCCAGGTCCGGGAGGTGACAGGGGCTCCCGGGCCGCGCAGGCTCGCCTCGCTCGCGGAGCACTTAGGCCCGAGGCCTCCGCGGGCGCTTCTGCTCACCGTGTCAGAGGCCGAGGCCGAGCGAGAGCAGAGTGCAGGGAAGAGGGGAAGGGGGGCGGCCGCCAGCAGGCTCCTCCGCGTCCCCGCCGCTTGTCAGGAGGCGGCCCGCGGTGCGCGGACTGGCGGAAACGCGAGCGAAGAGAAGGGAAAGGCGTGGGGCTGAGCAGGGGCCGCCGAGGGGAGGCGGTCCCGCAGGCGCGACGGGGATCGGCTCCCCCTCCGCAAAGCGAACCCAAAATGGCGGCGGGAGCGGCGGCGGCAGAGCGGCGGCGGCGGCGGCGGCTGCTCGGGAGGGAGGGCGGGCGCGAGCGAAGGGCGCCTCGTGCCCCCCACCTCCCCCAGCCCCTCCCCGCGGCCCCCCCGGCCCCCCGCCCCCGACTCGGACGGCAGCGCGCGCACGCCCGCCCGCACGCGCCGGACGGTCTCCGGGCTCGCCGCTCGCTCTCCCCCCGACCCCCGCCTTCGGCCGCCTGGCGCACCCGCCGGCCCGTCGGCGCTCGCTCGCACGGCCCCCGCTCCCCGCGGGCCCTGTCAGGGCGGCCGGGCGCGGGCCCTCACGCGTACCTTCGGCGGCGCGAGCCCCAGCCTCCTCCTCCTCCACCGCCTCTTCTTTCCTCCCCCCCTCCCCGCCCCCACGGCCACCAACCGCCGCCACGGCCGCCGCCGCCGCCGCCGCCGCCGCCCCCCCACATGCCCTCCGCCCCTCGCGCGCGCACCTCCCACAATCCCCCCGCCGGACCGTTCCATTCTCGCGGCCGCCGCAGCGGGAGGGAGGGCCGGCGCCGCGGCGGGGCTGTCGCGAGGAGCGGAGCCGCGCGAGCGCCGGGCAGGGCCCGGGCCGACTCACCTCCCCGGCCGCCGCGCCGCGCCGCCGCCGCTGCCTTGCGCGCTCCGCCGCCGGGCCGCGGCGCGCGCCTCGAGGGCGGCCCGGCTCCCCTCCGCGGGCCGGCGGTTGGAGGCCGCGGCGGCTGCGCGGTGAGCAGCTTCCTGCCGAACGGCCCGAGTTCGCCCGTCTTCTGCGGGAAGCGCGGAGAGCGGCCGGCTGCCGGCGGGGCGTGCTGCTCGCGGCCCTGGGACCCCCGCCGCGCCGCCCGCCGGGGAAGGAGCCGGCGCCGGGGTGCGCCCTCGAGGGCAGGGTGCAGGATCCGAGCCCCCGCGAGGTAGGGGTGAGGCCCTGGGGCCGGCGGCTGTCCTGGGGCTTCCTTCCGGGCTCTGTGTGGCGGACTCGGACCCGCGGGGAACCCGCGCGCTGGCCGCCTTTCTGCGTTGGGTGTAAAGCCCAGCCTGGGCTGCTTGGGTTTCTCGCCACGGTGACCCGCACGGTGCGTGCGAGCACTTTCGCCGTTCCCCTTGGCTGGGTGATACGTCCTCAGCCTCGCCCGGCAGCTTGAAGGCAGAGGGTAAAGAAACCACGTATTTCTAGTTCAGTGCTGGGCTCGATCTTCCAGTTCTTGCGTGTCCTTGAGAAAGTTGTTTTTCTTCGGTATTTACCAAAAAAACCCGTACGAGTGGGCAGAAAAATTAGTTGAGTCCAAATCGGCCTTCAGAGAGTGTTCCCGTGCACGGACCTGGTGCAGGTCAGCTTTGTGGGCGCAGTTGCTAGTGTGTGTCCTGTTCTCCAAGCGGTTCACGAAACAGTGCGAACCGACTCCTGGCAGATTTCTGCAGCTCCTGATGCTGCTTTATCAACATTTGGCCCCAACACCTACTTTTTCTCGATGAGGGAACTCAGGAGAACTATGAGCTGTCAAAACCCGAAGTCTGCCTAATCTAGTTTTTAGTTTCATCCAAAGGGTAAAGTAGAATACATTCCCGGAGGGATCTCCTTGGGTTCCCTTTCCTTCACTTCCGTGGGCTTGTAGGGATCCAGGAAACAGTTTGAAAATCACTCTACTAGACTGAGCTTAAAGCCCTATTCAAGCTCTCAAGTTCGAGTAGACATACCCCCCTTTCCACATTTCAATGTATGGATCAGGTTTTGTTTGTTTGCTCTGTATTTTTTAAGGTAAAGAGGAAGTCAGCTTTAATGACCTCACTGTATGTTTGCTTTTCCTAACCATGTATTAAGTCTCAGCTCTTTCATGGAGCCTATCTAGGTTTACTTTGATCTTTCTTTAATTGTGTCGTATATGCAAATGTGTTACCCTACCAACATTTTTAATTTGATGGCAGGGACTAGGTCTAACACTTCTTGTGCATTCTTTTATAACCCTAGTGCAATGTAAGTAGTGGAAATGTTAAAAGAATGTTAGATACTTAAAATCTGAGAAGGGAAAGAGAAACATTTGTGGAATGCCATAACAGTAGAGCATGTGTTCCTGCTTTAATAACACTTTGAGGTATATCATCCTAATCCCCATTTTACAGATGAGAAGCCTGAGGCTCAGAGAAGTCCAGAAACTTTATCTTTAGATTTCACTTTACCTGGGGTGCCTGGGTGGCTCAGTCCGTTAAGCGTCTGACTTCTGCTCAGGTCACGATCTCAGGGTGCTGGGATTGAGCCCTGCTCAGCAGGGAGTCTCCTTGTCCCTCTGCCTCTCCCCCCACTTATGATTGTGCTCTCTCTCTCAAATAAAATCTTTAACTGTGCCTGTCCTAAAAACCTTTTTCACGATACCACATTGTTTTCGTAGTAAAAATTTATCATCACCAACATAAGTATATATGCTACGAAGAAAAGACAATGGATTCCACTGCACCCGTATACAAAGAAGGGTGCTTACTTATGGTTTCTGCCTTCATCTTGCTTTCATGAATTGTCAGCTAAGTATAGACAAGATAGTACCCTGTTCTTTTGTATAAGCTCCAGTGCCTACTAACCAATATTAAATACTCAGTAAAATGACCATATTGAATGAATGAAACCTGAATAACTTGAACCAGGGAAAGTATGGAAGGCAGAATAATGGTCCCCCAAAGATGCCCATGGCCCAGTCCCTGGATCCTGTGCATATGTTACATGGCAAGAGGGAATTAAGGACGCAGATGGAATTAAGTTTGCTAATCAGCTAACCTTAAAATAGGGAGATTATCCTGGATTATGTGGTAGGCCCACTATAAGTAACAAGAGTTGTGAAAAGATGGAAGAGGGAGCAGAAGAGTCAACGTCTGAATGCTGCTATATGACAAAGGCTTGACCAGCTGTTGCAGGCTTTGAAGATGAAAGAGCAGCCTCTAAAAACTGCAAAAGTCAAAAAACCAGGTTCTCTACTGGAGCATCCAGAAAGAACACAACTGTACATATACACTTTGATTTTGGACTTCTAAACCACAGAACTCTGAGGTGACAAACTTGTGTTGTTTTATGCTACTAAGTTTGTGGTAATTTGTCACAGCAGCTAGGAACTAATGCAGAAAGGGGAGCCAAATCATGATTAAGCTCTAGAATACCTGCCTTGGATTGTGGTTTTGTGCTTTAACTCAAGAGTTTGTTTTGTTTTTGTTTGGGGTGCCCGAGTGGCTCAGTCGTTAAAGTGGCTGCCTTCCGTTCCGCTCAGGTCATGATCCCAGGATCCTGGGATCGAGCCCCGCATCGGGCTCCCTGCTCAGCGGGAAGCCTGCTTCCCCTCTCACACTCCCCTTGCTTGTGTTCCCTCTCTCGCTGTGTCTCTCCCTGTCAAATAAATAAATAAATAAAATCTTTTAAAAAATTAAAGTTTTTCTTTTTTTAAAGATTATTTATTTATTTATTTGAGAGAGAGAGAAGGAGAGAGAGAGAACACATGAGAGGGGATAGGGTAAGAGGACGAAGCAGACTCCCTGCCGAGCAGGGAGCCCGATGCAGGACTCGATCCAGGGACTCCGGGATCATGACCTGAGCCGAAGGCAGTCGCTTAACCAACTGAGCCACCCAGGCGCCCCTAAAGTTTGTTTTGTTTTTAAGATTTTATTTATTTGAGAGAGAGAGCACGAGCAGGGGGAAGGGTGGAGGGGAATGAGCAGAGGGAGAGGGACAAGCAGACTCCGCGCTGAGCATGGAGCCAGACTCGGGGCTTGATCCCAGGACCCTGAGATCATGACCTGAGCCGAAATCAAGAGTCGACGCTTAACTGACTGTGCCACCCAGGCGCCTCCGTGCTTTAATCCATAAAATGAGGGTATGGTTCAACGGAAAATTTGCCCCAAATAAAGTGATCTGCACTCAGCCAAGCTGCCTAGATTTCCAGTATTTCCCTGCCGCTCTGCTTCTGGCATCAGTCCCCAAGCTGTAAATGGACAGCTGGGTTCTATGGTCCTACTGTACAGCAGCAATCTTCGCTAACTAAGCTGCCTTCAGACTTGCCTACTAGAATAGAAGCAATTAAACATTTATTTCATGGTGCTTCCTTGCTGGGGTGTTGTCTAAATGCAGGATAGATAAGCAGGAAAACCTCTTCACTACAAACTTCAAAATAAGGTTTCAAATGTTAAAAATTTTTAAAGATAAAAGTCAACTAGAATATCATCATGGTTGACTTTACATCTGACAAGTTGTGGGTAAATACTATATAAGCATAGTAGTCTAAAGAATTTTCTTTTAACAAGGGAAGAACTCTGAAATTTTGGAGGTGGGGGGGGTACCAAGATTTTAAACTACTGCTTCAGGGGATGGATTGCCTATTAGTAAAGTATCAGTGGACACTCCAGACTGCATGGGTGCAAAGCCTAGGTGTGAAAAGTTAGGTAGAACCTTAGTGGTAGTAACACATTGTAGATTTAGATACTACAGTTATCTCCATTTAGAAATGAGGAAACAGCCACACAAAGTTTAAGTAACTTGCTCAAGGTCACACAGCTATGAAGTAGGAGAGCCAGGTTTCAGATTTCAACACTTAGATTCTACAGTCCATGCTTTTAGCCATTCTGCCATACTTGCCACTCTGTTTTCTTTGTCTGTAAATTGGAGATACTACCTACATCATAGGGTTGTTGTAAAGGTAAAATGAGTTAATTCACATAAAGCGCTTAGAGCAGTCCCTGACTTACAGAAAGTGTTAGTAATATGTTAGCTGTTGCTGTCGTTGGAGCCCTAGATTATTTTCCAATGTGCTTGAGTCACTGGAAGAAAGGAAACATCAATGCGGATGCTCCTTACTTCTGCCTTGACCAGCACAGTCCTTGTATCTCTTTTATATGTTAGTGCTGTTGTTGCTCTTAGCTTGGTAGAAGTTAGATTGCCAGAGGAGGGAAATGTCTGGGAAACACACTAGAGTGCCCTTGTTTTACAGGTAGGAAACTTGGGCCCAGAGAGAAGGAAAAAAAGACTTCTGCGAGCTTAAAACAATGTTGTTTTTTCCTGTAGAAAATGTTATGTGAAAGGTACTCATCTGAGAATGCAAAGGGCTTATCAAACAGTCTTGAGGTAGATTTAGATGTGGTGTAAGGACCCACTACTTTTAATTACTTATCTTCAATCTCTAACAGTTTGATGCAGCAAGGTTTTCTATCCACAGAAGTATAATTCACGCGGAAAATTATGTGTTAGCTTTAAAGGATTTCACTAAGGGTTTGTTGATTTAATTTTGTAAAATTTACTCTTTGCCTAGGTAATAGCAAAGGGGTTCAGATTCAAAAAGTACAAAAGATACCACCCTCCCTTTTCCTGCTCCCATAGGAACCCATTCCTTCGCCCTGAAAGCAACTAGTATTAACAATTTTTGTATATCCTTCAAAATATGGACCTTTTTACAAATTGTATATATATTTTCCCCCTTTTACACAAGTGATAGCTAACTGTATATATTGTTCTGTGCTTTTAATCCCCTACTTAATACATACTGGAGATTCTTCTTCATTAGTATGCAGAGAGCTCCTAGGGTTGTTTTGTTTCTAAACAGCTGCATGATGTTGCATTGTATGGATATGCTGTTTATCTGCTGGTGACAGATATTTAGGTTCTTTCCATTTTAATATTAGAAACAGTGTTGTAATTGAATAATCTAATATACATAGCAATCTTTGTTTTTATTACATCACTGTAAAAATGGCTTTGCTTAGGTCTCATTAAAAAAATCTTTTTAACATGGACACCTTACTGAAGTTTGGACAGTTTTTATTACATAAACAATATTATTAATATTGCTAATTATTGTTAATAACATTACAAATCAAAATCAAAAAAAGAAAGTTACCTGCAACATGAGCACCACCATAGATCAGATTGTTTTTTTATATCTTTTTC